ATTACAATAAAACATACATTACTCAAATACTAATGAATTATATTACGTTTCAGAGGTTTGGCTCCCCAGTACTTAAATTCCTCAAAGCAATGCTATAAGCAGTCAGGGCAAAATCATAATTTTCCATAGATGGAATCTCTCTCATGAATTCAAATGACTTTTCATAGTTTAGAATCATGGTTCTGACAGATGCAGGTGAGTGAGTTGATGGAATCTCAGTGATTTGAAGCTTTTTTATTTTTTTTATTTTTTTTAAAGATTGAAATTCAAGCAATCTCTCAGCATGGTCAAAATATTCCCACTATAAGTTTTGTTGTAGGACATGAGAAAAGAATTGTAGGAAACTGATTTCTACTAAAAACTAATACATTTTACTGGAGTCAATCCATCTACTACTGTCAGTCAGTCATGACTTATTGAAACTCATTGCTCTGGTAATGTTTTCCACAGTACCTTTAAGCTGGCTTGCATTAAAAACAGACTTATATTGTTGACAGATTTATCAGACAAACTTTCTTATAGTATAGATACAGCTTATATCAATCTGTACTGGTAAAATTTATATTTTCTCTAGCAAAAATAAACAAACAAACAAGTAACCCCCAAACAATAAACAGAATCCACTTTAGATGAGCAGCACATCCATGCTGAAAAAGCTGCAAGACCTTTTCCAGAGGTTATTAGGAAAAAACCCTTCAGTCCTACATACTGTACCTGTAAACAAACTGGACTAAAATCTTTTTCTATGTGGAATTCAAATAAAATATATATATGACCATTAAAACCAAAACAAAATCCTATTGTTTCTTTCAATGTTTTCAGTTAGCTTTCCAGCTGGATTACAGGTAGACAGGGAAATGAATGTGATGGAGATGTTTCAGCGAGCTGAGCACGTGCCCTAGGAAGGGAACGCTTCTCATGGGAAACTTGGCTGGGCGGCAGCCGCAGCTTCCGCACACCGCGGCGTCAAAACGCTGCTATGCATGAGAGCCTGACCCTAAATTCAGGAGAAGATTTAATAAGAGGGAAGGGATCCTGGCTTCTGATGCCCCTTAACAAATTGCTTTGGGAATGGGGAGAGGTGGAAGTTAAAACGAAGACTTTGTAAATTCTCTTCCTTGGAACAACTATTTCTGAGAACTGCTTGAAGGGAAGGCACTGCTGCAGCTACCCAAGCACACACATCCTTACAGATCGAAGAGTACTCGTATTTAGAAGTCTCAGAAGAATGTGATAACAAAGTCCTGCAAGCATCTTAAGGCATTTCCTGACTTTCTGGTGTAAGATTTCCCGTTGAATAATACTGAATAAGAAAGGCACAACTCCTTGAGCTTTTGCTAATAACACTAGCAAAACTTACATCTACTTGCCCTAAGACATTAGCAACCCTAATTACATTTTCAAAAACAGCATGCTTTTACACTCACCTCAGCAGTAACAATGCTGTCAGAAAGGGTAATACAAAGAAAAGAACATACAAAACCCACAAAGAATGCAGTCTATTTATTTTATTTTATCTGGCATTTGAGTCGTTAAAGCAAAGCACTCTATACATATTAGTTAGCTATTTACTGCCATTCTACACCCATTATAGACCTTAACTGCAGAAAGACAAATGCAGGGACAAACTTTTCAAAGTAAGTTTAATGACAATGCTTCTTGGACTCTGACAAATATCCATTTAAAAATAAGATTCTGCCAGCAGCTGATCATGTTCTTCTTTTAGTAACAGTTAATGACTCAATTCACAGACCTGTGAGATACAATGGAACATGTAGCAAAACGCAATGCTGATAATACTTGTTTTATTTTTACTAAGCAGTCTGCGTAGGCAGAATATTATGGTAACAGTTGAGTGACTGATTAATCAAACATCTCTTGTGAATGATGGAAACTTCTAGATACAAGATGGTCCTATACTTATTTATATAGGGTAGAAAAAAATATCCTCATTGTCACGGCTAGTAGGAGTTTTTACCAGAAACTACTTGTGTGGGCATTTTAAACCAATGTGAGGCAGTTTCACAGCAGATGGTCATAGGATGATTGCAAGTTAGCTAAGGCAAAAATCTAATGAACAAACCTAAGCATTTCGACCTGTTTCAAAGCCAACTAACATTGCAGTGACTTTAGAAAGAAAAAGCACAATGCATTTTTGTTTTGTTTCTTGCCACTAGCTCTAGCTGTGCAAAATTACACTACTGGAATATCTTTGAACCACTGCTGTGAGATGCGGAAAAACAGAAATGGAAACAGCATCATAAGCCAGAATGGAAACTTTACTGCAACATAAAAACATATCAAAACTACATTAAAATATTTTACTACCTCTTTTTTTTTTTTTCTACAGCTTCTAACAGATGAAACTGACTGTCAGCTGTGGCATCTGCACGAATACCTGCTGGAAAACAGGCAGAGTGTTTTTATCTCCACAGCAAAATCAATTTGACTAGTCTTAATGTCTAACAATTTTTCCCTAACAGACTTTTAAAATGAAAAGTTATAATATTCTAGCTCTGTTTTTTCATCAGACTTCTTCCATTAAGGTTGTTTATTGGGTCGATTGCATCAGGGTACATGTATGAGTGGATGAATAAAGAGTTGACTGGCCTAAAGTCGTGTTTCTTTCAAAATGTTTCTATTATCCCCTCCTTATTGTTTCAAAACAGGAAATATTTTCAAGTAGTTTTCCAGTTGCAGACTGATTTTTTTGAAGAATTGATGCTATGGTAAATTGCATGTTAATACATATGTGTGTGTTATATATGCCATATTTAGAATTTCTGAGCAATAATATATAGGTGCTGTAAACAAAACACAAGAATGGAATTTTAATACAGAATAAATATTTCTTTGTAATTTTGCGAATTCTGCTGGAATAATTAGAACATAAAGACTCATTTCTATCCTTAAATCATATCTTGCAAAATAATTTAAATGACTTTTTGACTCTGGTGTGCAATCCAAATAGGTCTTTGGAATTCAACCTTAGTAGCACTTTACATTGAAAGAACAGGAGCATCCCATATCATTCCACATTCCATTCGTAATTACAAACAACAACCGCTGAGGTGGATTCAGCTGCTAAATGTAGAATTCCACGTTCCTGACCCATTGCAATTATGTGGTGCTGAAATTATTTGGATATGCAATGTATTTAACTCAGATTACTCGTGCAAGAAAAATCTGAAGTGGCTAACTCACATTTTGCTATGCCTCAAACCCTTCCATAAAAAGTATATCTCCGTTGATTAGAAATACCAAGTCTGCTCACAATTTATTATCATTTCAAAAAGTAAAACCACACCATGATAACATGTACTTAAACAGTAATAACTGGTTTTCCTGAACTCAGAAAATATATGCATTCACTTACAATTAAAATAACATTAGGCACTAACCTGTTACTCTACAGCATATAAATGGTGAAAGAACTCTCCCAAAAAGACAGTGCTCACAGTGGAGAGCACAGACATTTCTTTTAAACAAAATCAATACTATAATGCTGCTACTTCTACTTTTTGTTTTCCTAGCAGTATATTCTCTTGTAAAAAAAAAGAGACAGAAAAAGAAAAGTTATTAAAACATGTTTTAAAATTCGTCATCAAAATTCACAGCCCCATATAGGAAGCTGTGCTCTTCTTAACCTAACAATATCTTTGCAAGCATCTCCGTGCATGCAGTTTAGACGTACATGAGGGGAGAGATTCCCCTCTAGAAGAAGGATTGAGGAAAAGAAATCCTATTCCCTTGTAATCAGCGTAAATATTGTCAACTGTCACAGTGGGGACAGGATTTTCTCCTTAGTCTTCTTCAACAGACAACAGTCTTCTTCAGTCCTAACATTCAATTTTAAAGCGGAATTTGTTTTATACTGCAGACAAATAGTACCCTAGCAGCTTGATTGGTTGGTGCTTAATGAAATTACTTGTGCTGACATTAGACACACTAGATACTGATTAAAACACTTAATGATTCCTCTTGATTTTAAATTGCTGGTTTAGATTTGTGAGATGCCACCGATATATCCTTTTCCTTCCTTCCCTCCACTCCAACCATGCTCCTCCTTGTGCTTTTTCTGTTTCAACATGATCCTTAAAGACTGTGGCTCGCTGACACCATCATGATCACAAAACAAATGATACCACAGTGTTGAATACTGCATTGTTCACAATACACCGAAACCCGGTTAACAAACACGGCAAGACACAGTCCTCTCTGAAATACAAATTGTGGGTTCAGAGCTGAAGTTCTTCTTGACTGTTGACACATTGAGGATCATTAATACAAAGAGAATTCCAAACTCAGAATAAACTTTACATTTTTAAAATATCTGCTAAAAAAAGATAATCCTGTAAATGTAAAAACAAGTATAAAAGATTCATTTCAGAGCTTGAACACGGAAGACGGGGATAGATTGCAAGAAAATGGTGTCGGCATGGCTTTCCTAGATGACAAAGCCATTTTTCATGCTATTCCTATACAAAATATCACCTTTCAGTGGGAAATGTATATCTTATAGGCAAAATGACAATCGTTAAACTTATACTCAAATACTGTTAATTTCCAGAAATACTAAGTTTGGAAACTTTGTCAGAAAAGGGGAAAAACACAGTAGTTTATGTATAGAGTTCCACTTTCTTTGATATCAAATCTTACCAAGACTCTTGAGATGAAATTATACTTACCAAAAAAAAGTTTGCCCGAATACTAAAATCTGTTGTATCAGAAGCTTTTATGAAAAGAAAGAATGAATATACTGAATTTTACCCTTAATACAAACCTTAAGATCACAGAAAATAAAAAAGTACAAGTGTTTCTATATTTTAGCACCATTGCAAAGTTAGGATTCCCATGCCGGTTTTGTCACTGTGGCTGTACTGTGCTGCTGGTGTAGCTAATGTGAAGCACACAGACTTCAATGATCTTGGAGAGAAGAATAATTGGATTTTCTGATCACCAGGAATATTAGAAAGTTTGCATTTTTCCCCCTTTTTCTGGTCTTTTAAAATTGATTTTGATCTTGATTTTTATTCGGCAGCCAAAGTGCACCACTGTCAGCTAAATCCGAGTCCGAGTCCTTTTGGTCTCTGGATTGCTCTTATCGGTTCTGCTATCCCTTTGCCGTCTGGTCCAAGGCCCGTGCCAGGAGTCCAGCCCATACTTTGAAGCATTCTGTTTCCAATGTTGTTTTCTGGGATTGGTTGAGTGTTTTCACCTACAAACCCTGAGATTAAAGAAACACACAGCATTAATCAGCACTGCCTGCCATGTGGAGAAGAGCAGGATAATCTCCCTTAAAGCTTTAAACCTTCTTATTCCCCTAATTCATCTAATAGGTTGCTAGAACAGGCTGTCTTTGCACATGTTGACCCTCCTGACTGCATACGATTCCAAATAGTTCAGTCTAAGGCGTCCTTTATTTTATACTTTCAAAGACAAGCTTAGTTTTAAAGCATTACAAATTTTGCTGAAGATCCTTCATATTCCAATAGAACACTTTCCATCAGTCTCAAGGAAGACACAGATCACCTGCACAAGGCTACCAACTCAGAGCCGAGATTACCTGAATTTATTGCTCTATACAGTTCCTAAACTGAGGCACATTACAGTATCATGACCATCTTTCCATTTTTATCAATATTTATCAACACTCAAGCAGATCTCTTTCAATAAAACACAACAAACCACTTTTGATTAAGCACTTACAGCTGCTACAGAAGCAAGTGATCTAGTATTTTGAAATCCAGCTATATCCTTGCTTGCTTTGGGATTTCATGAAAAGCTATCAGAGAGATTTAATACATGTGAGTACACTTCTTAGCATTTTCAATGTCTTTTAATGCTTTCCTTCCGCACCATAAAGATCTCAAGAGAAAAAGCTTTGCATTTTTCGCCAGATTCTGAGTACTGCAAGTGTTAATATAAAGGGTTTATTTTCTTATGAGCACAGCATCAAGCAACACAAAGGACAAATCAAAAAGCTGCTTTCTCTCCACCTTAAACTAAGCTTTTGGAGATGATCCCGGAGAAATCTTTCCCATATGTAGCTCCCTTGCATAAGGGATACAAATGACACTTGATTCAAGAATTAGCAGGGAAATCTAGCAAGCTGTTACACTACACAAAAAAAACTTGAAAAAGGGCTGATGCTTTGCAGTAATATGAACAGTTGTAGGCATTTTATTTTATCTTGTTCAAAACCCCCTCAACAGCAAAAAACACATTTGCCAAGCTCCAAACATTAGCTGCTTAACTTTCTACCTACTTCAGTTTGGTGTTTTTGAAGAATCCTGCAGCAGGAGACTGTGGTTTTGCGGTTTTGGAGACTATACTGTCTTCAATCAATAATTTACCATTGACAAGAGGCTGGTTCATCATTATATTATCTTACTAAATGGGAACACAACAAAAGTTGGCCAAGCACTTTAAAAAAGCCTCATGTAACAGACACAAGAAGACCCATAGTGGAAAGTGCATATACAGACAGAAGATTGAGATGAGAGGCGCACAGTAAAAACCTTATGATGTCTGTGGTGACATATTTACATTACTCAAGCATCATTCACTAGTATATATCTCTTTAAATTCAGTCAAGCAGCGACTACATAAAAGTTAGATGGCTTCCTAATATCTCAATTCCTGAGTCAAAGAAAAAAAGAAATGCATTGATGGAAACCAACCTCAAATATCGTTTTTAAACTATGCTTAATGCTAGACTTAAAAAATAAAAGCTTTTAGGATCTGGTCAGTGGATCCGGTCCTTAGGAGTGTTCCTCTGGAGCTCCCTGGCACAAAATTCAATGACGAAGATTTCTTTCCTTTACAGGATCACACAGGCAGAGACAATTTTCATACAGACAAGTCCTTTATGATGACTGGCGTACACAATAGAGGCTTTGGGACCTTCATAATTATATCTTCTAGATGAAAAAACAGAATGAAGAAAGTCTAGAGTCAACAAAAGTAAATGTACAAATCACAGCTGGAAGGGTGTTTTGATCCACTTTTCACATCAACTTAAGGTAAAAATTGGCTTGTGGTTTCAGTGTTTGTGGAGCAAGGCAGGGTGAGAACTTAGGCAGCAAGAACCCACAGATCCAACAAGCACAAAAACACTGGTAAGAGAACATCATGACCTCGAAGAATATATCTAAGAGTACCCTATAGTATATCAATACTATACATAGGATATCTATGCTATACATACATAGCGTATCAATACCTTATACAGTGTATCAGCACATGGTATATCAATATATCTAAGAGTATACGTATATCATGATCTCTAAGATTTGGAAATGTTAGTCCATTCGTAACTCTGCCTAGACAATGCTGCTGGAATAGGCCGCAAGGCATAGCTCGAGACCGATTAAGCAACTTTTTTTATCTGTCTATTTGGGAGACAAACCCAAAGATATTTTCATGTAAAATATGAAAAAGTTCTATATGAATTTCAATTTTCAAAATAGAGCAGACTCACAGAAAAGATATGTCAAAGAACAACTTGTACTCCGACAGGTGTTATTTAATAAACTGATGTTTCTATTTTTGATGGTTTTTGAAGGAGGTGAACATTTTTTTTTTCTCTGACGGGATAATTAGAATGCTTTTTGTTTTTAAAGATATTTAAGTAATACTAAAATATATAGCTTTATTATTTTCCCCTGCAATGTACATATTTTTCTATCTCCTATAAGAACACAAAAACCTCCCCTGAAACCTTCTGTTTTATTTTAGGTTTAGCCAAGTTAAAAAAAAATAATAATAAAAAAAGAGCAAAACCCACCATGAACTTGGCTTCAGAACGGACTTTTGGGCACACACTCAAATAACAGACTCTACCCAGACATTTTGGAAACCTTGTAGAACAGCAAGAAAAATGCAAAACCAAAAACCCCTGCAACTCCTCCATATTATGGATGGGCATGCACTTTGACTAACCACTCTCTCTTGCAAATGACATGAATATGGATAGTTTGTATTTTAATGTTTAAAGAGATTTAATATATCCAGGCTATTCTTTTGCAGTATAGTAAGTTTTTATATAAATATATATCTACGTCTGTCAAAGTATTTCAAATGATTGATGAAAACTGCAGGAATGTTAATTTGCAAGGCAACATGCTTTACTTGAATCAGAAGAATACGGATGGCTGTATTTATAATTGCCCATTTCTCCCATTCCATGACCAATTTGCCATCAGAAAAAAAAAATCTGAGTGTTTTTTATGCACTTACAAGGACCATACTATGATTTCTTACTCCCCCAGCTCCTAGTTCCTGTGCTTTGGGCTTTTATTTTCTAATTAAAAGTGGTAATTGTCCTTGTAATAGTCATCTTCAAGTTCAGTGTTTAATTCATGCCAAGGGCACTTCTTAGACTAGCCAGTAGGTCCTTTTAGAGAGAACGGTCCAAGCCTTGCGAAGGGCTGTGCTCCCTCTGGGATTGTTCAGTCTTGACCCACCCAGGAGCAAGAACAAAACCAGCTCACTATGCTATCCCCCCTGCCACCCCCCCAAAAAAAAAGCTACACAATATCAGACTAAAGAAAAAAAAAGTGATACATATTTTCTAAGCTTATTACAGTTTTTTGTTCTTTCTACAGACTGAAAATGTGTTAGCAAGCATAACTTGTTTCCTGACTTACCAGATGAGTAGTCTACCTTACTCAAGTGAGGCACAAAGGCTGAAGGAACAGTGGGAGCACTGCACAGCTCCTCCACTCCTCTGCAAGGTTTATACTGCTCACATACTCCACATACATGAAGTATAGAACCTATGACTGGAAAGAGGCAAACCGGGAGGGGAAAAAGTCTAAACAAAAACCCTTCCATCAAATTTATTCTATTTTGGTATAATATTTATCATGGCATTAGAGGCAGGTTTCAATGAAAAAATAGAGATATGTAATTTTTTCTTAACAGCTGTTGAAACAGGTATGTCCTGGTTAAACAGTACTCTAGCATTCAGTGCCATACTCTTGATTTTACAGTGATTGCCATGAGTTAATTTAATTCCATCTGTAAGCTAAAATCAGATCAGAGGTCTAATGCTGCTGCAGGCTCCACATCTGTTTAATCATTTTTGGATGCAACAGCTTGCAAAAGTTCAGGTTTTAAATTTGCTTCATATTTAAGCAACAATGTTACGCCAGCATACAACACTCTCAGCGGGAAACAAATGAGCTTATGCACAGTTCAGATCGAAAGATCTATTTCACTTTGTTTGCAAAATGCTTCTTCCAGAGAATTCAAAAGCTCACCAACTAAGCTATATATATATATAAGATTAATAATGGAACTGTGACCCTATTAACCAAATCTGTGACAATATTGGTCCTATTTTTTGGATTAGACAAGTATCAAGCATGCTGGTTTATATCAGGGCAAATACAAATCAGAATATAATGAGACTCAATCTCCTAAATAATCACTTAAGAAAATGCTACAAATTTCGTTGTTTCAGCCATAGGAGACAAATGACATCATATGTAAGTAATTTCGTCTCTGGCCACTAAACTATTTTTGATGTTAAGATATTGTTTATTAAACAGTTGTGAAAAATGACACTGTACAGATAGACAGTCTTGGCCTTTCATCTTTCTTTTATATGATTAAGACTTGTGGGTTGAGCACCAATGCCTTTGCAGAGCACAGCACAACTATTATTTCCTCTTCTATCACTCCTAGCAGTCTTAAATCCTTTAAATCCTTTCCTAGAAGGATCTCTTTTTGCTTGGGTAATTTTTGCAATACATGGCCTGCTAACCCTTACCCCCTACCCTGGATCTCACTTATGTCTATCACAGCAGAGTCAGTCTTTCTACCTCAAATCTTCCAAGGAGCATTGTGGATGGTAATTCACTTGCGTAATTGGCTCAAGAGATGAAAATCTTGTATCTGCCTCTCTTAGCCACTAATCTATCCAGCTGACTGCAAGCCTAATTGGCAGCTTGTTTAGTAATTTGGCTCCTAAAGTGTTGTATTGATGTTGGATAAACAGCCAATGGAAGGAGAAATGATACATGCTGCTTCACTTTAAAAGCTAGTGCACTTCCCCCTTATTTTCTGAAAGCATTTAATATTCTATCTATTCTTTTTCTTCTCTGATTCCTTACTAGATAGATGAGTTCAGAACTGTGGAATGGGAGAGACTGATCCTCGTACACAATGCAATTTTATGAGGAATGTAATCAAAATAATAAATTGCTACACTGTATCTTC